CGGGGGGGCGGTGCCAGGGGGAGGGACCGAGGGGGGTCAGTGGGGGGGTGGATCCAGGGGGGCAGGTATTCGGGAGGGCGGTGCCAGGGGACATCCGGGGGGGCAGATCCCCGGCCCTAGGCTCCGGTTCTGACCCGGTTGTGCCCCAGGCCGATGGCCGAGCTGGCGCTGCGCCGGGAGCTGGACGAGCGGCTGCTCCACCTGCTGGGGGCGCTGGAGACGTTGCAGGGCAAGAGGGACGAATTCAACAGCTGCGTGGAGCAGGTGGGGCGGGAGGGGAATTGGATGGGCCCCCCCCTACTTACACCTCGGGCCCCCCTACTGCCCCCAGGTTCGCCCTACTGCCCCGGCCCCCCATCTTACCCCTCAGGCCCCCCCTACTGCCCCCGGACCCCTTCTTGCCCCCCAGCTTCTCTACTGCCCCCGGCCCCCCGTTCTTACCCCTCGGGCCCCCCCTACTGCCCCCAGGCCCCACTTCCCTCCCCCCAAGACCCCCCACTGCCCCTGGGGTCCCCCTTTCCCACACTGCTCACCTTCTCAACACCCACCGTGCTCCCCAGGCCCCCTCATGCACCCACTGGCCTGGCCAAGTTGCAGCCCCGTCAGCCTGGGGGTGGGGTGGGGTCTCTGGGGCAGTGCAGCCCGTTAGGGGAGTGTCCCCCCCCCAGCAGCCCCTGACACCCCCCTTTGTGTCCCTCCATGCAGGGCTGGTTCTCGCTCTCTAAGTCCCGCTTCGCCATGGGCTGCAAGTCGGTCTCTGCCCTGCAGTACGGGGCCCGCATGGAGCCGCTGGTCCGGGTGTGTGCCAGGTAAGAGCAGGGGGCTGCAGGTTGGGAGTGAGGGGCACCGGCAGGGCTTGGGGTGGGGCAGGGCTGGGCTAGCAGCGGGCCGGGAGTGAGGGACACCGGCAGGGCCGGGGGGAGCCCAGGGCCGGGCGAGAGGGGGCTGTGGGTCGGGAGTGAGGGGCACCGGCAGGGCTGGGGGGAGCCCAGGGCCGGGCGAGAGGGGGCTGTGGGTCGGGAGTGAGGGGCACCGGCAGGGCTGGGGGGAGCCCAGGGCCGGGCGAGAGGGGGCTGTGGGTCGGGAGT